TGTGTGTGTGTGTGTGTGTGTGTGTGTGTGTGTGTGTGTGTGTGTGTTTAATTAGAATGAATAAAGTATTTCCTAGATTTCTTCTCTCTGACTCTCCCACTTGAAATTCTTTTAGAATCAGAATCCATGAGCAACAATTATCATGTCAGATGTGCTAGCTGTTGGGTTTGTGAGGTCCGTGTTCATATTAATATTTTTTTGATTTTTTTTTTCAGTGAGTTCAATAAGAGGAGATACTTAGCTGTAGTTTGGAAAAGAGAGGTTCTTTTCAGACCTTTTCTTGCTTTGCAGAATATAAATAGCAGCCCAATAGCAGGTTCAGAAGGTGAGCACCCAAAAATCAAGCTTTCCTCGTCTGCCAATGCCATTTACTCTCTGGCTGCCAGGTAAGCATACTACAACTGTATTTCATTCAATGGGTATTTCTTTCTTCTTCATGGAACAAAGGCATCCCCAGGTAGACTATGATGTCCTCAAACTCAGAATTCTCAACCTAGTATGGTTGGTGCATGCCTGTATCCCACACTTGAGAGGCTAAGGCAGTAAAATTGTTGCAGGTGTACAAGCTAGCAAAACTTCTCAAAACAAATAAACAGGGGGCTGGACAGTGACTCAGTTATTCAGGTACTTGCTGTTCTTCCAGAGGACATGAGTTAGATTCCCAGTGCTCAAATGGAGGTGTACAACCATCTGTAACTTGAGCTCTAGGGTCTTCAGTGCTTCTGGCCTCCTTGAGCGCCTGCACTTATGTCCACATACTCACTCGCAGACACTCATGTGTGCCTCATGTTTTGTTATAACCAAAAATAATAAAAGCAATCGTAAAATCCACCTCGCAAGTCTCCTACTCTGGCCCTCTGAGTGCTGTGATTTTTTTTTGTTGTTGTTTTGACATATTTTTCATTTCTTTTTTTTTTTTTTAAATACATTTGTATAGGTCAAGCTTGTTGAGTCTATTCATTTTTTTTTTAAAAGAATCAATTTGGTTTTGTTATGTTTCTCTGACATGATTTTTTTTAATGTGTACTTACTGTTGCCAGGACATGTGATAAATGCTCTTACTCCTATCTTAATCCTAGCACTAGGAAGGCGGAGAGAGTCAGATCTCTGTGAGTTTGAGGCCAGCCTAGTCCACATAGTAAATTCCAGGACAGCTGAGACTACATATTGAGTCCCTGTCTTAAAAAAACAGACAAAAACAGGCAGAGGCAGGCAGGTCCCTGTGAGTTGGAGGCCAGCCTAGTCTACAAAGCGAGTCCAGGACAGCCAGGGTTACACAGAGAAACCCTGTCTTGAAAAACAAAACAGGACAAAAAAACAAAAAAAAAAACAAAAAACAAAACCTCAGACAAACAGCTTATCCATTTATTATCAACAAAAGGCTGGGGGATGTTAAGCATTTTTTGTTTTTGTTTGTTTTGGTTCTTTAAAGACTCATCTTATTTGCTTATTCATTCATTTATTCATTCATTCATTCATCCGTTTGTTTGTTTAATTAATTAATTAACTTCATTGTAGGTGAGTACATACCAGAAGGGTATAAGCTATCATGTGTTTGCTGGGAATTGAACTCAGGACCTCTGGAAAAGCAAATAGTGCTCTTAACTGCTGAGCCATCTCTCCAGCCCAGGATGTTAGGTTTTAAACTCAGAGCAAGTAACTGGGGTGCTGATTAACAAACCAGACCTGGCCTCCAGATTATCCCAGCATCCCTCAGTTCCTGCCTGTTACAGGATATGGCTGGCATAACCCTCCCTTTACCCTGAACTTTCCAGGCCAGGGGCTTGGCTGCCCTTTACCCATAGGCTCTTCTGTATACAATCCAGTCATTCTGGTTACCTGCCTTCCTGTTACTTTTTTTTGTACTTTTGGCCTCCAAGCTGCTCAGCTGAGTTCCCCTCTCTCTTTTTCCCTCCCCCTCTCTGCACATGGATCAGGGATGACTGCTCTGGACTATGCCAGATGTGTTTGCATCTGGCTATGCTTTCTCACATATCTATAATAAACATTCTTCTCCACCATAAAAACAAACAACAATAACCAAAAAAACAAAATCAAAACAAACACCAGCCTGATCTACAGAGATAGTTCTAGGACAGTGGAGGCTACACAAAGAAACACTGTCTCAAAAAACCAAACAAACACTTAAGAACTAAAATGTGTACTGCTTTTTTTTTTTTTAAGATTTATTTATTTTATGTATGTAAGTGCTCTATCTGCATGTACACCTACATGCCAGGAGGGGGCATCAGATCACATTATAGATGGTTGTCAGCCACCATATGGTTGCTGGGAATTGAACTCAGGACCTCTGCAAGAGCAGCCAGTCCTCTTAACTGCTGAGCCATCTCTCCAGCCACATGTATTGCTTTTATAATCAGGAAAACATTATGCAAATACAGAGAGACAAATAAATGCAAGTGTATCAGTTAATTATTTAAAATATGCAAAAAAAAAAAAAAAAAAGTAAAAAAGGAAAGAAACAAGAAACACAGGTTTATTCCAGGAAACATAAGGCAGGGTGGGTGATTTTTTTCATAGCTGGTATTTTATCTTAGTTTCCTTTCATAAGATGAGAAAGCAGAAGTTTTTGTTTTTAAGTTTTTTATTTTATTTTATTTATTTTACTTTATTATTTTATATTTTATTTTATTTATTTTTTATTTTATTTTATTTATTTTACTTTATTATTTTATATTTTATTTTATTTATTTTTTTATTTTATTTTATTTTTTTATTTTATTTATGTGGATGGCTCTTCTGCCTAAATAGATGCCTGAGCACCCAGGCAATGCCTATAGTGATACCCCAGAAGAGGCCCTCAAATCCCTTGGAAATGGAGTTCCAGATGGTTGTAAGCTGTTGTGTGTATGCTGGGAATTGAGCCGCAGTCCTCTGGAAGAGCGGCCAGTGCTCTTAACTTTAACCACTGAGCTGTCTCTTCATCCCCTGAAGAAAGCAGGGGGAATTACATAATATGTGCTGCACCATGTAACAGCAAAATCTCTGAAGTAGGGCACAGGAATGTGATTCCGCAGTCTAGCATGTGGAAGGTCCCGTGTTCCTTGCACTGCTCTTCCCAAAAAAATGCACCAAGAGTCAGAAGTCTAGGATCTAAACCAGGATGGTAATGAGCAGGTTATTTTTTTATCTCTCTCCTTTAGATTTTTTTTTCTGGTAGGAAATATTGAAGAGAAAAAAGCAATTAAACTTTTGACAAACTATATACTACCATAGGTAGGTTTTGTATTGGGATTTGCTATATGTTAGATTTGCTATCCTGTTAGAAGGCCACCTAGTGTTCCCTTTTTAATGCTCTGTAAAGAAAAAGAATGCTAACAGGAGCACCGTAACAAAACTTCCTTGTGAGGGTAACAGTTGCTTATTCCATTTTAACATTTGGATCATCTGAAAGTAGGATTTGTAGCTGGTGCATGCTTTCTTCAGTACTTGATTTGATCAGTGGAAATGGTAGTACCCTAGGTGCTATTATTTTGTTTTGTCAAATTGAGTTGTATCAGTTCTAAATCATTTCATACTTGTATGTTTTCCAACTTAATTCTTTTTTTTTTTTTTTTTTTTAACTCTTCTAGGCCTCTTCCTGTGCCAAAACTGCCAGCTGGGGAACAAGGGGAAAGTGAAGAAGACACAGAGTATATGACTCCCACATCTAGGCCTGTTGGGGTTCAGAAGCCAGAGCCCAAATGGCCGTTAGAGGCAGCTCCGAGTTCACGGTATGCTCACAACAACCCTATTTGGAGCTAAGTATTTTTACTCAGATAATTCACTTACTGTCTTTCGCCTGCTTGCTTACTTACTGTACATACCATTGCATTGTCAGAAGTAAAGCAGAAAGAGAAGTCTGGACCCCAGTGTTTAGGTCTAATATAGATAGGAAGTGGCACAGTGACCTCCAGAACATGTACATCTTAGCTGGCATTTATTAGTGGATGGCTCTTCTGCCTAAATAGATGCAGAAGAGAATAGTGTTGTTTTGAAAGAATTAGGACAGTTAGAAATAGGTTAGTCTTCTTAAATTTGCAAATAACAGAATTTTGTTTGTCAAGACCATTGTACCTCTTTGTGGTTCAGAGCGTGTGACTGTGACCAGCAGATTGACAGCTGCACATATGAAGCAATGTATAACATTCAGTCCCAGGCACTATCTGTGACAGAAAACAGCACCTTTGGTGAGTAGCTTGTCTTCTACTTAAAAATTGATGTGCCTTGTATGCCTTGTATGGTAGCACCCATCTGTAATTTCAGTACTTGGGACTCTTATTGCAAAAGGATTGCAAGTTGGAGGTCAGTCTAGCCTACATAGCTAAGACCCTGTCTTGAGAATAAAAAGAAAAGGAAACCATAAGTTTGCTCTGTAACATTTGGTTGAGATAGCTTAAGCTAAGGAGAAAGTCATTCTCAGTATTCAGTATTCTTAGTACTCTTTTGGTACTGGACAAGATGGGCCACACTTTTCTTTTTATTTTCTTTTCAGACACTAGTTCCTAACTGTTTTTCCTCCTCCCAGGGCCTGGAAGCATCTGTTATATGGCCTGGATCTCAGTATTAGCAGCTCTCTTTTAGTCCCATTACATTGATAAAATTCTTTTGTGTGTGGGTGGTAAATACTCAATTCCCATGTTAGGCAGCTTACCAAGGGGAAAGTTCAAGAAGCCTTCACACAGTCCTTTGGCTGATCTTCTGAGGTGAGATGCAGATAGGCTCTAAAATAGCACTTGAGTCTCTGGCATAGTAGCTATCAACCTTAGCAAGAATGACTATTGACATGTTCAACAAGAGAGCTGGTGTAGGTTTTATTTTATCTCTATCCACAAGACAACAAATGGCATTTGGCCCACAGTAGACATTTGAGTAACCGTCGAATAAATGGTTGTGTGCAGGTGTGAATGAATGGGTGCCTCTGGATTGAAGTGTATTAGAAAATGAACTATGACAGCAGAGGACAGTTACTTACACCAACTTTCTTCCAGGGGAAGGGAATCTGGCTACAATCCATACCAGTACTGGCCCTGAGGAACCAGAAAATGAGGATGATGGGTATGACGTGCCTAAGCCACCTGTGCCAGCTGTACTGGCCCGCCGGACCCTGTCTGACATCTCCAATGCTAGCTCCTCCTTTGGCTGGTTGTCTCTGGATGGTGATCCCACAAGTGAGTCTCCAGGTGACCTTGGCTTGTTCTGGATTGCTGTCTGGCCTTTGGTTTATAACTGAAAGTTGTCACCTCCTCTGGTGGCAGTAAGTCAGTGAGTGGAAGTAGTGGACTGTGCACTGATTCTAACTGTTGGAAAGCTGGTACTAGGTTCCACATCAGGAACTGAAACTCTGAAGGTGGTGCTTAAACCACAGCTCCTCCTATTGAGGAGGGCAGGGCTTCTAGGCCTTCAGAGTATGTGTGTATGGGTGTAATGCCGGGAATTAGGCTCGATGGAAGTGATGCTGTGTTCCTTTTTTTTTTTTTTTTTTTTCCTAACCCCTGTCCCACTGGGAAAAAGTGTGCTGACCTCAAATATACATTTTTATGGACCTGGGCCACCCCACATTGGTCTCTAGTATCCAGGACTGCTCTCGTATCTGTGGCCACCTGATAGTGCAGCGGCCAGAATAACTGTCATTTTGGAAATTGAAGACAACTTTCAGAACAGCTGATGGAAAATAGCTACCGTCTAGTTGCTCATCTAGGTGGGATCCCCACCTCGCTCCCTGCTTCCTCTCTGCAGTTAGGCTCTGTTGTCTCATTTGTAGAAGGAGTAGTTTAGTGGGTGTGTAAACTTTTTGCTAAATAAAACACACAGTGTAGGTGTTATATACTTCTCAAAGCCACAATTACTGTTAACAGAATGGATGCAGGGCATATTTAGAAGGTCCTTTACTCTGTGATCGGAGTCTAGATCTACAACCCATCTTTTAGGGTGATGGTGTAGCTCAACAGCAGAACACTAAACCTCGCATATGTGTAGCCCAGGGTTCAGTCCTAGCACTGCAGATAAAACCTAGACTGTGCCAGGCGTGGTAGCCTACAGTTGTAATCTCAGCACTCAGGAGACTGAAGCAGGAGCACAGCTGTGAGTTGGAGTCCAGTCGGGGCTATAAAGTGAGCCCCTGTTTCAGAACAAAACCCAGAACTCCTCCCTTAGGACAGAAGAGTACATTACAACACATTGTTACTGTTGCTGCCATTAAATGTCAGTTTCCCAAGATTTGCAAATATTTTCTTTCCTTTCTCTTTCAGACTTCAATGAAGGTTCCCAAGTTCCCGAGAGGCCCCCCAAACCATTCCCTCGGAGAATCAACTCTGAACGAAAAGCAAGTAGCTATCAACAAGGTGCAGGTGCCACTGCTAACCCTGTTGCCACTGCAACCTCGCCACAGCTCTCCAGTGAGATCGAGCGCCTCATGAGTCAGGGCTACTCCTACCAGGACATTCAGAAAGCTTTGCTCATTGCCCACAACAACATTGAGATGGCCAAAAACATCCTCCGGGAATTTGTTTCTATTTCTTCTCCTGCCCATGTAGCCACCTAGCGCATCTCTCCCTGCCATGGCTTCAGAGGACCCATGAGCCGGGCTCTTACTCAAGGAACACCTAGGAAAGCAGTGGCTTCTTTTGGGACGTCACAGTGAGGTCCTGCCTTTTATGTGGGTATCGACACATGGTTCCAAGATTTCAAAGCAGTGAAATGAAAATGGAGCAGCTAGTGTGTTTCATTGTTGTATTAGTCTTCAGAGTGTTTTTATAGTCCTTCAGTCCCCATTAGGAGAGAATGAATTTTTATACAATGGTAACTTACCCCGGGAACAGTGCAGAAAGCAGTAGAAGTGCTGTGCTGTGGCCCTAGTTAAGGACTTAAGATTTTCCTGTTAAGGGTCTGTGTGTCTGTGTGTCTGTGTGTCCTGTCATTGTAAGATTATTATCCTGCTGTGTGTGAATCCAAGCAGGGAGTTAGCACAAGAGCTTCAGGAAGGAATCTCTGAAGACTCCCATCTACTGTGGTATTGCACCTAGCCCTGCTGGATATTACAACCTCAACCCTCCCCTTTGGCTTAGATTATCATATGCTTAGCTGCATTTTATACTGTTAGAATACCCACTGTCCTTTCACCTGGAAACTCCTTACTCCACTTCCTCCTCAGTGATGTTCTGTACACTTGCTGTGACCAGTCTCACTGAAGCCAAGCAGCTTATAGGATGTTTTTCCTTCCTCATGTGTGATGGTGTTGGTTGGTTTGGTAGAATAGGTGGGAAGGAAAATGCTATTCTGTGGTTACTGTTAACACTGGTCACTCCAAAGTGCTGTTTCTATAGGAATGTTGAATTTGTTTTTTTTTTTTTAAAAGATGTTTGAATTCCCTTAATTATCTAATGACTGGTTTGAGATAGAGGCCTTCATATACATTCCGTGTCCTCCCCAGGAAAGTCTGTGGGAGTCTATTGCCTTGATGCCAGATATGTTTTTCTGATGTAGATCATGAGTCTTTCTACCTAACAGGAGCAGAACATTTGTTTCCAGGATGGTTTTCCAGCCCAGATACCATGGAGCTTTAGGAAGCTTCAGTCACATGCTATTTAGATTTACAAAATGAATAGTAAGGACCTATCTGCTCAGTCTCTCTTGCCAGTGCTTAATTTCAGTTTAGGGATTTTTTTTCCCTTGAGCAGGAGCCAGGTTAACCTTTCAGAAATTATCTCTTTCTCTACCCTCTAAGGAGTAGTGTATACCCCAGTGACAGTACAGCATTTGCTGATGACTAACGCCTTTCTTGCACTGGTGCAGCCAGTGACTTGGGTCTCATGTGCTTAGCGCTTCGGGAATGGTTTCTCTTTCTCTTTCCTTGCCTTTTTATTGGTTCCTAGATATAATCACTGCATTATACATAGTATTTAGACATCATTCATTGAAATCCTTTAGTCAAAGACAATTTGGGTCAATGTAGCAGTTTTGTATATGTACAGGTTCTAGATCAAGAAGATCTAGAGTCAGTTTGGAGACCTGTTTCTCAGTCCCTGTATAGTGACCCCTTGGGTTCAGTTAGTTCTTTGACTAGAGTCTTGCTGAGTTCTCTGGCAGCATTGCTGTTTGTCCTGTCGCATGCAAACTGGCTTTCCCATGAATCTACTCTGCTTTTTTAAAATTCAGGCAGAAATGACCCACCAAGAATCTGCTTTCTTTCCAGTTTTAACATCTTTGCAACTAAAATCTTTTGAAGTCTTCTTTTAGTTTCTAAATGCTTCAAGTTCTGGGTTTTATCCTCTTGCCTCAGAACTGTTTCTGTTCCCAAAGCAGACACTACAGTACTTTATATTGACTCTCCTTGGTTACACAGTGTCTTCTTTACATAGCAGCGAGTAGAAAAAAATAGCTTATCATTCACCTCAAGAAGCTTGTGACACCCATTTTGTGTTTATTTGAATATTGAAAGCCTAAGCCAAGCTTGGTGGCATGTGCCTGTAATCTCAGCAATTGGGAGATGGTGGCAAGATGATCTGAAGTTCAGTGCCAGCTCAAAGCTACTCAGAACCTGTGTCAAAACAACAGGGGTTGAAGCGATGGCTACCTCTTCAGTTAAGAGCAGCTGTTCCTGCAGAAGACCCATCTCTGGTTCCTGGCACCCACCTGCAGGTTTAAGATGTATAGCAGCTCACAACGATCTGTAACTCCAGTTCCAGAGGTATCTGATGCCCTCTTCTGACCTCTGTGGGCACCAGGCACACACATGATATGCATACATATGCAGGCAGAACATTTCATACATATGAAATAAATAAATGTAAAAAATGAAAAAAATAAAAAACAAAAAATCCTTGACGAAGAACTAGTGAAAGGGCTACAGGCCCCAGTCTGTCCATATTGGAGTGTTTCTTTCCTTGTAGATATTATCCACAATCTAAGGTCAGTCAAGAAAACAAAGCATTGGCTACATAAGTTTGCCTTTTTTGTGTATCCAAGTCTTCTGTGGAGGGCTAAGGATATAGCTCAGTTGGTAGCGTGCTTGTTTAGCATTCACAAAGCCATGGTTCAGTCCCCACACTGCACAGAACGGGGCTGAGGCACACTTCTGGTCCCTAGCACTCAGGGTGTGGAGGTAGAGTGTTAGAAACTCAGGCCATTATTACCTACATAGCAGCTTTGAAGCTAGCCTGGGCTACATGGAACTCTGCCTTCAAAAGAAAACAAAAGCCAAATCTGCAGAGATTACTGTCCATACTACCTATGGAAATGACAGTTTTGTCTTGCCCTCTGCTGAGCACCCATGTGAGCTCTGAAACGGGCATGGGTAAGCGTAGGTAGTTCAGTCCCTATGCTGGACAGGCACATTTTTGATTGACTTGGGTATTGGTTTATCATATGTATATCTACAATTATTAAGGTTTAAGACCATTGTGTATAGGCCTTTCCTTTGCTTCCAGGATATGCTGGGGGCCTGTGCTTGATAATTAGGTAGCCTTAGGGAGCTTCATGCCAGTCATTTTGAAGATAGTCTCCAAATTTGAATTTCTTTTTGTTTGAAGGCACCAATAACTTATTTGCCATTTTCCACTTGTATGGCAAATTTTAATTCCTTGGCTTTTCGTCTGAGTTTACCTAAAGTTGCCCTTTCATAAACAGGCTTTATTTTGAGTTTTGCTATTTTTGGCAAGCCCATCCTTTTTCCCTGCTCTGTGTTGCAATTAGGAAAATCACTTTAACATCTTCCTTTTTCTCAACCTCATTAGGCTATTTTATTCAACACAGGCCTTGCTCTCTCTGTGTCTTCGTGGATTGCTTTACATGCCATCTCATTGATGGGTCACTATCTTCCCAGGGTGCCAGGCAAGACTTTTCTAGTCCAGTCCTAGACCTGGACTCTTTTAGCTGCCCCCTCCATTGTCCTTGTAAAATGAAAAGTTCCTAAAACAGTTTTAAAAACCTGTGGGTTCTGAAGTATTCCTCCTTCTAGTTAACAGACTGGACAGGTCATCATCTCAGCTTTTGCATGTTAATATTTATTTAAGCAGCAAATTGACCCTGTCAGGCTGTTCTTATCCCCCTCTTCCTCCTCCCAGCCCCACCTTGCAGACTCTGCCATTTTGTCTTTCTATTTCAATTCTCAGACATAACTCTCACTGTACCACGGTGTGATAGTAGTACTGGCATCGTTCAGCTGTGTTGTGGGTTTGTTTGTTTGTCTGTTTGTTTCCCCAATTGTCTGGGATGGATAGGAGTCACTATTCTATTTCCTCTGTAGGAAAGTAAAATGTGTTTTATGGTCCAAGTAGCAAACTTACAAGTTAATTTTTGTAACACAACTTACTTGCAGGCCAAACCAGGGACAAGCTGTGTATTCCTTCTGTGGCCCCATTAACAGGATATCTTTCTGTGATGATCAGCAATGGTGGTATCACAGAGTGTTCTCCTACCTCACATCATGAGAAGCAGAAGGCCACTGGCCTTCTCAGGCCTTCCTTCTGTTGGCCTTTCTGACTCTGGAATGATCACTCCACTGAATAGAGTATTCTATCCATTGTCCTGGCTACAAGCACTTGATCATTTCTGCAAACATTTGAGTGATTACTCTGTGTCAGAAGTGTTGGCTGTATGTGCTTCCCGGCCACCTTGTGGTGGTTTACTGCTGTTGAGAATTTAAGCAGGGCCGTCCTTAACTCTTTTTGCATTTGACTGTGTACAAGTTTATTCACAGCTCTTTTATGTAGACTTACCTTTCCTTACAGAGTTCTGTACCCAAGACATTCCCATTAACCCCTGTTGGCTTCTTGTAGCTTTGATAATATTTGGGAGATTCTGTTGTGTATACCTCATTGCTACAGATTTTAGTAGCATCTCTTCAGTGAGTGGAGGGCTCACTGACTGAGAGTTGCACAGTAGAGCACTAAATGTTTAAGCAAAGCTTTTGCTGCAGTCCATTCTAGTGCCTTCTTTATCTTTTTACTGAGCTGCTTCTTTCCTCAGTCCTCCTAGTTGGAAAGGTTTTGTTTTTTTCCCCTTCTGGGACTGTTACCACCTCCCATACAATTTGGAGTTTCTTTTTCTATTCTCCAGTAATCTTTGTGTGTGTATGTCCCCACCCATCACACTTCAACAGTCTTTGTAGCTAATTCTGTCTTAGAAAGGGCAAAAGGATTGGATGGAAAGGGTGCTCTTGTAGGAGCCGGTCAGGAGCTGAGACTGGACTCTGTCCACTAAGCCTTCCCAGAGCAGGCAGCTTATTAGCGGTACCAGAACCTCCCTGTCATCTGGCACTTGAAACTTCAAAATTCAACAAAAGCACTCTAGCACTACACAAAGCATCTGGATGCAACTTTGATCTCAGTCCACACACATGGGTAGTTCTCTCTCTCTCTCTCTCTCTGTCTCTCTCTCTCTCTCTGCAGGGTTTCCCTGTGTAACAGAGCCTTGGCTGTCCAGGACTTGCTTGGTAGAACAGGCTGACCTTGAACTCACAGAGATCCACCTGCCTCTGCCTCCGGAGTGCTCAAATTAAAGGTGTGTGGCATCGAGACCAGCTTGGGTAGTCCTTTTGTTGGAATGCACAAAGTCATTTAATGCATGGAAGACTTGGTTCTTGTATATTAGTGGGCTAGAAAACTTTAGGCTTAGTTCCTTCTCCTCCTGCTTGACAGCATATTGGTATACATGACTCAAAAATAGGTATCCAAGTCCTTGAGTTCATATGATCTTCGAGTACAGTTCTTTAGAAGAACTCAATAATTCCTGGAAAGAACAGGAGAAAGTTAAAACCTGTATACTGATTCCATGGCCAGACTGGACATTCTGAGGGGGTCTGTGCTGGGCCTATATCTCCTGAGACCATCTGTGCACCAAGCTGGACATCATGTAGGAAGCCTGTCTTTTCACCTCTTGGGAGGTGGAAGTAGGAGAATAAGGAGTTTCAGGCCAGTCTTGGTACGCTGCGAACTGAAGACCAGACTGGACTCTATGAGTCTCTTGCCTGTTCATGGAGAATATTTTCTCTTCTTTATTTCTAGCAACAGGGAAAGCAGCAATATTGCTTGGTGCATGGGTGGAGGCGCTCTCTTCAAGTGCAAATTACTGATAGAGTAGTTTCACTGAAACTACTTTTGGCTCTTCCACTGTAGTTCCCTATAAGTCTGATAGTTTGAAGGTACAGTCTTTTATGGTGGGAAAGTCGTGGAGGCAAGAACATGAGGTAACTGGCCACATTGTACCTACAGTCAAGGAGCAGAGACAGTAATGCTTAGGTTGTATTTTTTTTTTTTTTCCTAAATTAAAACTGTTGTCTAATCATGTCTAGAAGGGCTTCAGCGTTGACTTGCCCTTGTATTGCTGGCATTTCTTTTCTCATGGCTTCTGTGTCCTCCTCTGTTGCTCTAAAGGCATCCTGTATGCCCTCTTTGTCAGCTCTGCTCATCCCTCTTCCCTTCTTTGGTGGTCTGTTCATGCCCTCTCAACCTCAGAGCCAGTGAGTCTTGATAAACTTTCCTTGTTTGACTTGTCCTTGAATGTACCATCAAGTTTCCTCTTGTGAGAGTTTGCAACCTTGCACAGGTTTGGGTAATGAACTAGTCCAATACGCTCATGACCTTCAAGCTTAAGAGCCTTTGCATAAGGGAACAGAGCTTCTCCATGCCTCGTCTTGAGTTCTGCTTCTCCTTGGTAGAATACCTTTATTTCTGTGCCAACTCCTGGTAGAAGTGAACCATGTAGTCCTTCATTGATAAGCTTGAAGTGGTTAGGTAGATTGTCATCTCTGCGTTTGCAGCAACAAGACGAAGGTGGCCTATGAAGGCTTGGCAGTCTCGCTGGCACCCTCCTCTATGTCAGAAATCACCTTTTGAAGGAGAGTGTCCAAGTCATTTATGGCTAACCAAACTGCTGCACCTTTGAGATCAATGGTTGTATCAAGTTCAATGCTTGGTAGAGTTGAGCCTTGGAAGACAGTGACATACATGGCATTGAACTTTTGGTGACTTGAGTTGCTGCCTGTTGGGACTTGCAAACTGAATGATACATAAATCCAAGTTTTGACAATTGTGTTCATAAGAGTTGCTGTCTCTCTGACTTCTTCGTTTACCCAAGGCATGCGCTTGCCGTCTTGGTTAGCCTCTCCAGCCCTGTCTCCATGAATGAGAGGGAGAAAGACCTTCTTTCCAGTGACATACAAATCTGGAAAGACAGCAAGAAGATGGCAACAAGGCAGTGAAATAGCTCCTCCGAGTATTTTGGAGTTTATGGCCTCTGGAACACACAGGTTTGTTATAGCTGCCTTGACACCAATGTTTGGTGGTGGTAATGCAATTCTGTCATCCTGCGATAGTGCCAACTTGACTGCGGGGGCAGTTGTGAATGTCTTGCGATAGGTGGAGGAGCTGATCTCCATGATCTCCTACCCACTATTCATCCTAAGTACCCTTGGACACTTAGTCCTTAGGTTGTGTTCTTAAAGAATATACTCAGCAAGAATATTGATTAGAGGGTCCTTCCCCTGCCTGGGCCTTACAGGGAGAACAGAGAAATTATGGTGACCTGGGAGCTTCTTAGAAGAGATAAGCAAAGGGACGTTCATGTTAGAAGCACAGTTGCTAGCCTGCTATTTATCTGGGAGGTTGAGGAGATCCCTATTTTTAACCTACTCAGAGCCACTATCATCTTTGCTGCTTCATTTTTTATTTTTCTTCTTCTTAGGAGTCTTGGCACCCGAGATTGCTTTCCTCACTCTTGAGGCCACTCTACGCTGTTTTCGGTGGTATTTCTTAGCCTTCATTCGACCTCAGTTCTTCTTTAATATTACTTAGAGTGCATATCATGGCTTCCACTGTAGCTACTACATTTAGGCTTGGCTCTCTTCTCGTTTTAGTGCTGAATACTGTTCATTCTGTGGTCTCTTGACCTGGCTCCTGCATCCCATCTTCCTCTTTGTTTGTCCTCCTGTGAGGGAGCCTGCAGTAATGCTCTTAGCTTTGCTTTCCTAGGCACCACTGGGACATTTACCAGAATACAGATACTTTCAGTGTCAAATAGAGCTTGTTCTGTGCACGCCTTAGACAAGCTACCTGTATCTTCCTGTTTGGTTGCTTTCTCTCTAGTCCTGTAATAAGTGTGGTGGGTTTTTTGTTTTGTTTTTTATTTTTTTATTTTTTTTAAAGATCTGGGGGAAGTAAAACTATGCTTCTGCTTGCCTAGATCTGTGGACTCTCATATTAGACCCTGTCCTGAGTTTTAAGGAATATCATACATACTATCCTGCTTTTAACTTCTAAATATTCAAGTCATTTGGTATACACAGAAGTAACCTACTAATCCAAAGATATTCATTGAGGCACATAAGAAGGGCAAAAGCAGGTTGTCAGATTTTACATTTGATGTCTATGCTAGGTTCCTGAATGAAGGAGCCGAGAGATGGTAGTGCCATGTGCCTTCACAGTGTCCCAGGAAATCTGGGTTGGTTGCAAGAGAAAATACCAGTATTTCTGGGTTCCAGTAAGTAGCACAAGAGTTGAGATAGAGAAACAGGGACAGGGAGAGCCCTGCACATTGTTTTGTACCTGATGTAGAGCACTATGGGGAAGGGTTAGCTGCTGACCAGCAGCTGCTTGGAGATCTTACAGCCTCTTCCCAGTTTTAATGCTTCAGAAAAATGTGGCTGACCACTCCTTGTGTTGTTCAGAGCCCAGGTTGAGTGCCAGCCTGAGTTCTACTAATCTGGCAGCTGAACAGGTCAGCAAGAGTTCTAATCACCTGGCCCTGCAGTCCTGATTCAGTCCCACAACTGAATGTGAGAGGCAGACCTCCACATTGCCTTGACATTTCCTTCCATCTACACCAGAATGGAGGCCAGAGAAGAGGATTGATCGATGAATGCTGTGTACACTGCCTCACCACATAGGCCCTGAAGTGGGCCTGTGTTGCTCCTTCTCCCCTACCTCTCACCCAGTAGTGGAGAGGGTGACCATGTTTTGGCTGTCTTTAAGTGGCAAGAGGATCCCAGGCCCTGTGCTCTCTCCCCTGCTCTCTGGGCTAGTAAGCCCGCCCTGCAGTATGAACAAGAGGACGCCTCCTGACCTCCTCCTCAGCACCCATAAGTGGGAAGTGTGACCTCTGCTGAAACATGCTGGGCATGGCAGCTGTGAGGTACCTCCTACATCTGCTTTCTGGCTGTGGTGACTTGGGATTTTTAACCTTATATATCTTTTTCCTTTATTCAAAACAAAACAATTTTTAGCACACTGAAAAAAAAAAAAAAAAAAAAAGCCAAATGTTTTGTGCCTTTCTAAGGCAGCGCTGTACCCCAGGCTGCATCTTAGGACTTAATATGGAAATACCAGAGTCTGAGCTCCTCTGCCTTGAATATCTTTAACCCTAGAGTCTTGGGGACAAGATGTCTGGCTGGAGAGGTGGCACATAGGTACCTGTGGTCTCCTTCTCGGCCATGAGGCTTCATTGGAAAAGAGCAGCATTGTATTCTTGCATCACTTAGTTGGTTCCAGGCAGCAGTTAGTGTTCAGGCGACTACTCTGGATGTCCCCTTCCCCCTCCCCGATAACGGTGCCCTGCTGAGCAGAGCTGTAGGGTGGACTCTCCTGGGAAGAGGAGATGGTTCATTTGTTGTCTTTTTGTTTTGCTGGAGCTTGAGCCAGCTTCAACCTCCTGCCTCTCCTCAGACTTGGTTTTCCTTTCATTTGAAGGCTTCAACCGTAATCCATTAAGTGACTGGTACCCTGAAGCCTGTCACTCATACCATCAAGGTTTCAAACACAAGTTTTCTTACCCTCCCCTTTTCCCTTGTTCTTCCCTGCTTGTGGCTAACAAAGAATGGGGGATGGACGCAGTTCTTTTTAAGGTCCTCCTCATTCAAGATTTTCAAATTCTTGATTTGGGTGGGACAAGAGAGAACTTGTTATTATTTTCCCCAGAATAGAGTCCCAATTTGTATATCAGTGTTAAGAAAACAAAACATACACTTAAGTGAGATTCTCGTGGACTATTTTTAAAATGTCATTAATATAAAAAGATTTCTATTAGCAGTATTTAATCACTCCTATAAAGAGCAGAGGTAAATACTCCTGCAGAGTAGCGGAGCTTAAGACTCTTTCTCTCAAGTCCATGTTGTTTTGCCTGTGTACTGATGTGTGCAGGTCTGTTATACTAATTAGAGGTCTGTTATACTAATGTTATTTATTAATTTTTTTCATTTCCATACAGTTAACTAAAGAGCTTTTTCAAGCACCCATGTCTGTAAAAAAAATATTTTTAAATAAATTTTTTTGTTGTTGTAGCACACTTGAGTTCTGTCTCATCTGGGGCCGGGGGCCAATACACAGGGCAGCTGTGAGACAGTGGCAGCCAGGCAGGTGAGAAGGATACCCAGGACAGGTGTAGCTGCCAGCTAGCCCCAGCAGCCTGGTGCACAGCTTGATGCTATAGAGATACAGGGCAGTCTCCAGGAACCTGTCCCTTCTGTGAAGACAGTTGTGGGTCTGGAAACTCCAGGTCTGTTATCCATAGTGAATGGAAAAACACAGCATGCTTTTGGGACAATAATACTTTATTTTTCTAACACATAATATATAAAAGGAAACAATTTGCAAATTTACAGACAAAACCATATATATATATGTATGTACACACACATATACACTCACTCACTCACTCACTCACTCACTCACTCACTCACTCACTCACAGATGCAAGCATACCTCAAAAGCTCTTCCCAGGCCAGGTTTTCATCTCTTAAGTACCATTTTCCCACTTGGGTTCTCTTAGGATCTGGGCCCATAAGCTCACATAGCAAAATTTGGTACTAACATACCTATAAGCCTAATCTCCGTGAACAGTAGACCACCTCTCCATCCTGTCTCTTTTCTCTCCGTCTTCCATTACCCACTGAGGGAATACAGGAAGCTCGGGCTCAGTAGCCTTCACTCAAAAACAAAAACAGAAAAAACAGTGCCCAGCTTCCTCACTCAGGGATGTGTCTGAAGGACTAACACCAGTTCCTGACTTCTGCCCGAAGGAAGAATGTTCCAAAAGAGACCCTGAATTAGTAGCAGGCAGGAAGGTACAAAAGCAGTACTACAGCTGCTTCCGATGTGTGGGGTTCTCTCATGTGGCCTCATGCCCAGGTCCTGTATCATGTGATAGAACTAGCCTGTTGAGGGGAGAGCAGCAACTCAGAGAAGCAAGCCCACACAGCTGATGGCAGGAGATGGATGTAGAACCACTGGCTGTGTAAGGGGAGAAGGAAAAAAAAACCTGGGATACAGGCCCCTTGGGATAAGCATCACTCAGCGGACACAAAAGAGGACTTGGTATCTAATCCAGGCCTACATGGCCAAGTGATACCCTCCAGGTGGCTCTGTCCCAGCTCTTAGCCCTCTGGACCTGGTCTGCAGTGGGGCTGAGTGAGGATCTTCCCTACTGTCCCTCTGGAGGCTTTTGCTTGGGGTGAAGACTGAGTGGGGAGCCGGAAATATTGGTGAGTCAGCTATTGCCTCAGATCGATGTACTTCTCTCCCTGGAAATGAGTAGAGAGAAGTAACCAGAACACGGAGAGCCAGCAGGGGTCACAACCCTGAGCACCAAAAGGAGAGACTGAAGCAAAAGCTGATGGGTTTGCAACGTCCTTGAGGCAAGCAGCAGAAATGGGGGAAGGGGAAAAGAAAAGATAGAAGTCCCCCACCTATGTCTCTGTGCTGGGAAAGAGTTTTAACAGAATGTAGGGTGGGGCTTTGCTCTCTGTTTCTCCAGGGTCCCTCCACTGTTTGCCCTATCCTGCCATCTGTCAGTAATGTTAGGGCAGGATGGGCCTGCTCCCCATCTCCAAGCAAGGATGAAGGACAGGAGTTAGTGTTCAGGAACAAGTACCATTAGCCCACTACCCCCAATTCCTGAAAGGGGGATCAGGCCCTGGCCTCAGGAACTGCCTCCTACCTGGTCTCCTGGAGCCCTCTTGTCACCGCTGCTGCCCTGAAGGAGAGCCATCTCTTCTGGGAGCTTATCTGACTTAACTTCAACTACAAATTCACTCCTACGAGGCGGGGGCAGCGTGCTGGGAGGAGGGAGGTGAAAGGTTGGCAACTTGGGGACAAGGGAACGGGAAAGCCTTTTGGGATGGCTACTCTTTGGTGCTTTGGGGCCAGTCCAGAAAGGGAGAATTGGAGGAGAAGGTGTGGTTGATGGAAGCTGGGTAGTGGGTGGTAAAAAGGGGTCCATTTTCTGCTCTCAAGGACTAAGTGGGCCATGGGTAGTCAGGGAATGTCCCTTATGAGGTAGCACGCTGGGCAGCCGAAAACAGGGTGGGAATGAGGGCCATTAAGCCTGGCTTACATCTCTTGTTTTCCTGAGTGTCCACATGGCAGTTTGCCCTTCTTGTAGAAGAAATAGAGGGCAGCACCCAGTATGGCAAGGACCAGGATGCACACGATCACAGCCACGATGACCACACCTTTGCTCTCTGGCTGTGGCAGCTTTTTCTCTGTCGAACAAAGACACTTCTAGTCACTCCCTGCCCCCAGGCTGCGACACTGCTGTTGCTGTATCCACCCTATCCAGCCCAGGGTGACAGATAAGCTGTTGTTAACCTTCCTCAACAGGGCACCCTGGCACAGGCCTGACTTACCTGTGGAGGTGCTGTTGCCTCTGGCGTGAGGACTGACCGTGGAGGTGCTGAGGCCAGTGGTCTGGCTGAAGTCAGGTGTGAGGGTGGTTAAAGTGACTAGGAGGCAGAGGGATTGGGGGAGGGGCAGTTAGTAGAAGCTCACATTAATGCCCATGCCTGGGCATGCCCCTGCCATCCTCTGCAGGGAGGCAGCTCTCACCCAGCTTCAGGACAAAGATGGTGGTATTTGAGCCCAGCGAGTTGGAGGCTGTACATTCTACACCCGTCTCTAGCAGCGATGGGGTCACAAGGACATTCAGGGTGCTCACTACTGTCTGTGGATCTGGGTTCCATTCAGTTGCCTAGCAAAAGAGGGGCAGCTCAGAGGGGAGGAGCCTCTCTGGCCACAGCCTCAAGGCCTAAGCAGGGATTAAGAAAATGGAAAGATAAATGGAGCCTGCTCACCGAGCTGTTGACATTCCAGGAGATGGTGGGCTGAGGATGTCCTGAGGCCTCACAAGACAGATTCAGCACTGCATTCTCTTGTACCCACACCTTCCTCTCCTTTAATGCCATCCATGGGGACCCTTGGGGGTGGGGAAGGGTTAGACCCCCCAAATAGCCTGTTCCCACTCCCCAGCACAGCTCCCAAGGGACAAGCTGGCTTTTTAGACCTCCAGCAGCTCAAAAGCAAGCAACACAGGGTGACCTGATCATTGTACAAAGGGCCTCACCAAAAATGCCCACGCTGACCAGCTGTGTACGATTCAAGCCAGGAACTCTGGGGACAGATGCCATGCAGAGATAGCGTCCCCCTGCTTCCCGTTTCAAGTTGTTTAGCTGGAGGATGGGCCCCTTTCCCAGCAGCTGGCCTGTCTAGAGGTGAGAGGTAGGTCAGGGGGTCTGAGGAGTAAGCTCTCATCGCCCACAGTCCCAAAGCCACGTGGGTACCTTGTCTCTCAGCCACTCGAACTCAAGGTCCTGGTTGCTCTCTGCCTCACAGGTCAGTGTGAGGCTATCACCTTCCTGGGCTTCAGGGGCGGTCGGAGTCACTCGAACATCAGATACATCTACAGACACAGCAGAAGCGTCAGGCTGGGCAGGACAACCAGTTCCTCTTTCCCCAGACGGAGCTTCCATCCTAGTGCCTCACAGTTCACTAGCAGCTCCTGGGGGTCACTTGACAGTATGGTTGTAGTTTCCAGGTCTAGGCTCTGACACTGGTAGAGCCCACTATGGTGCTTCTGTGCAGGCTCCAAGGATAGGATACCATTTTCATCGGTGGTCTCCTCCTCCATCTCCCCAGTGCGTGGGTTCTGGGAGAGTACAGAAGGGTGAGGGTAGGCTGATGACCCTCCAGCTACGGTTTCCACCTCTTTGCTTGTGCCCTTGTGCACCCTGCATGCACTCAGCACGGAGCCCTCTTTCTGTACCTGCTTGTTGATAGTGAAGTGGGGTTGAGGGTTGCCATCAGTCTGACACCTGATCTTCACATGATCCCCTTCCTTCAGCGGTCCTACAGGTTCTACCTCCACCCACACTTTTTCTGCAGGGTCTGGGTGGGCAGAGCAGAGAAGGCTCTCAGTCCAAGTGGCCCCGGATTTGATGCACAGGGACTAGCAGGAGTTCCCACCGTGCCCTCCCCCTAAACCAGAGGAACAAGTCAATACTCACAGAAAACAGGGACAGTGACCTCTCTCGATTCCTTCATGCGGTTCCCACTGGGTAGCCGGTAGTTGAGTTCACAGTAAAACTGGGCGTCCTTGTCCTCCTTAACCAGCTGTGCATTCAGAACACTCTGCAAGGTGTACAGGCCGCTGGACTCCACAGTCTGTGATGACTGGATGTGAACGCCTAGGCAGAAGGAGGGAAGCAAGGGTTGGCCTCAGCATCCACCCATCCCACCCCTTCCACACCCCCACCCCCAGCTTCTCCTGGGGAATAGCAGGGAGATACCTAAAGAAGAGGCCCAAGACCAAATCCAAACTGGCAACCCTTCAACCCAGAACTGTTAGTGCTTGGTATCTACCCTGGAAAGACATTTACACCTTAGCACATACACAAGGGTGGTGCCAGGAACTCTCCAGGGCAAAGAAGAATGGCCTACTGGTAGAGCATGTTCTTAACATGTGTGTGGCCTTATAGGTTCAATCCCCAGACTCCAACAAAAGTCCCAAAGTAACAGAAAAAAGAGACACTAAGGTGCTAACAGAAGAATGGTAATTCATCCACATCATATTCAGTATGATGATAGGAAGCAAAACAGGTCTATCTGAACAGCCTGGCCAGGGAAGGTTACACAAGGGGATGTGTGCCCTGAGGGCAAGGCTTCTCAGGCTCAGCACTGATGTTTTGGGGCAGGATTACTTCTTTGTGGTGGGGCCCATCCTGTGGATTGTAGGGTGTGCAGAGCTGGCTTTTCGACCTCTACCTATCAGATGCCAGTAGCAGCCTCTGTGTTTGTGACAACCACTAATGCCCCCAGACACTGCCAGGTAACCCCAGACTAGTGTGTGTGCAAAAACCACTGCTGATTAAGAGAATAAAAAAACCACGCGCCTTGAGCCAGGAATGGCGATGCATTCATGGAATCCTGGTGCTTGGGTGACAGGCAGGAGGATCAGCAGTTAAAAGCCAGCCTGAGTTTCATAAGTTCCTGTCTTAAAATACCATATACAAAACTCCACACAGCTGCAAATGTTTGTTTATGTGATAAACACAGAAATAAAAATGAAAGAAAACGGTTCACAGCAGAAGTCACTTTTAGGAGGAGTCTGGACCACAAAGGAATTCCTAGGGTTTTGGTTTGTTTGTTTGTTTGGTAGTCTAAATTTTTCTTTTAAAAAATTTTGTAGCCAGGTGTGGTGGCACACGCCTTTGCTTCCAGTGGCTGGGAGGCAGTGGCAGATGGATCTCTGTGAATCCCAGGCCAGCCTGGTCTGCAGAGCAAGTTCTAGAACAGCCAGAGGTACACTGAGAAACCTTGTCCGGAAAATTAAAAAAAAAAAAAAATCCCAAAATTTCTACAAGTTTTTTTTATGTGTATGAGCACCACATGCATGCCTTCTGCCCTTGGAGGTCAGAAGAAGGCATCAGATCCCCTGAACGTGGAGCTGTGGGTGGTTGTGAGCTATCACGTGGGTGCTGGGAACTGACCTGGGTCCTGCAAGAGCAACCAGTGCTCTTAACTGAGCCAGCTCTCCAGCCTACAATCTGAATTGTTGAACATCACCTGTAGGTTTTTCTGTTTGTTTGTTTCAGTAAAAGCTCTAAAAAAAACCATGCTAGATGATCCTCCCGAGCCTCAGTGGTAAGGGGCTACTCACGGTTCTCCTCCTCTTGCAGGGGCCGACCGTTCTTGTACCAGATGACTTGAGGAATGGGGAACCCATTCCTCCCCACACAGGTAGCAACCTAAGGAGGACAGGATGGGAGTCTCCTTGCTTCTGACAACCCCCTCTGCCGAGGCTTAGCCCCTGTTCACTGTCACTTAATCTAGTGTATCTCACCTCCCTAAGCTCCTGCCTGTCCACATGGATGCCCACAGCATTGGCCTGGATGGTTGGCTCCTCTGGCGCTTCTACAATGGGAGGGAAATGAGCAGAGATGTGGAGACCCATCTTTACATGGTCTACACTATGCCAAAGGCAGGAATGAGGGGGCACTCACTGTAGACTTGAAGCTTAGTGTAGTGATCCGGGAGCCTCGGTCGCTTGCTCTTACACAGGAAGGTTCGTTCATCATGGGGAGTGACTTGACTCAGGGCCAGAGTAGCTCCCGAACCCTGGAGGCTAAGGCGGTGCTCATATTCTCCAGGTTCACTCCGGCCCTGGCCCTGGCGCACACGGAAAATGAGCACCTGCTCCTCCCTGTGAATCTGAGGGCAAGGAGCAGAGAGATGAGCTACCTGCCCATGGAAGGTGCCTTCCCCCCTGCCGATGCCCTCCGAAGCCCAGGCACCCACCAAGAACCAGTCCACGTGGCTGAAGTTGCCTGAGGACTGGGAGGGGCTGCACCTCAGAAGGGCCGTGCTGCCCACTTCTGCCTCCACCAGGTCTGGTGTGTGTGCAGGCTGCTTTTCCTCTCCTGGCACACCTGGGGAAGGGGAGGGGCATGCCCAGACAGCTCTGTCAGCTCCAGCTGCTCTGTCCCCGATCCAGGCTCACTTCAGCTGTTCTACTCCAACGGTATGGAGACGGCCCTTCCTCTCCTTACCCTCAACTTCACCTTGCCCACATCCCAGTCTGGGTCAGACCTCTCCCAGTGGAGTATGGACTGGAACACAGACAGAGTGACTAGGTATCTCTTCGAAGAAGCTGGTTAGAGAGATAAGGGGAACATGGGCTCTGGGCCAAGAGGAAGGCCCCTTTGCTCCTGGGCCCCTTCCTAGGCCTGGTGAGCTCAGACTATGGGAATGCAAGGCATGTGCCAGGCTGGGGCACACAGGCTCCTTTGTGTCCCCCCCCTCCCCAAAGACGTCACTATTTTACCCTCTGCCCCCCAAATCCTCCAGAAGACACAGTGGACCAACTCTGGCCAGAAGTTACAATTCATACTCCCAAAGAGGCATGTCGAGAGACATTGCAATGTAATCTGTAGACCCCATCCAAGTAGAGAGGGGTCAGGGTCTCCCCCAAGGGTTAGGTCAAAAACCAGAGACTGGGCAGGAATGACATCAGTGGTGCCAGCCTGCTGCCAGCCCTTTGAGGAGGTGATGTCACTGGACACAAGCTGCCTGGACACTGGGATGCCTGGATTGTGTGGCTTCCAGACTGAAGGAAAGGTGGGGCACTCTTCTACCAAAAGCAGGGACTTTGGATCTCTTTTTCTGAGAGCCAAAAGAGCGATACACGAGGAGGTTAAGTTTACTGTGCTGAGGCTGCCAAGCTGAGTTTAGCCCTTTCCCCAGAAATAAAGTCAGCCTGGGAGGCACCGGACTGGAGTACCCCAGGGACGAGGCTGGCACTGGGCATGAGGCCAGCGAAGAGGGTAATGCCCAGCCCTCCCCTTCCCCAGCCTGACCAGTGGCTGGGACGGGATAAGGAGCCAAGAATAACTAACATACGACACCGACACCGCTGCAGGCCCTGCAAAGGAAGCCCGGACCCAGGAGACCCTGTCTACTTAAAGAAACGCTCCGGGCTCTCTCCACCTGACTCTCATCTCCGGCATAAGCTGTTACATTGTACAACTTCTCCACTCATCGTTAGTCCCCTGTGATCCAAACAAACCCGGAGGCACAGGAGACCCACACCACCCGCTGCCCTTGCCAACGCCCAGCCCCAGCAGGAGCTGCCTCCTCCCTCGCTCACCTCCAAGCTGGCAAGAGGCCCAGGCGGAGAGGGAGGGGTCGGCGGCCCCCTCCAGCAAGGGAAACTGCCTTTTCCAGCAACAGGCGGGCGCGGGCTGCACGGGGTTGGGGATGCGCCCCAGCCGCGCCTCGCTACCCGGCTCCAGCTGCCGGCACCAAGAGCGAGCACCTGCGGGTGGCCAGCCCTATCGTCCTGCGAAAACTCGGCCCCACCCCTTCCCGCTCGTCGCTGAAACCTCTCCGCTGAGTCCGTTCCCAGAATACTCTAGAACCTAAGCTGCAAACCCGCTGCAAAGAAGTTGAACGCGCGCGGAGCGCCTGGGAATGGGGACCCTGGCAAGGAGGAGCTCCCGCTGGAGTACAGAGCCCTGACTGCCTTGCTGCCAGTCCTCATCTCCCGGCACGCTCCGGCTCCGTCGAAGACATCCCCCAACTCCCAACTCCTGGAACCTGCGGGGTGCGGGTCGAACCTCCCCCCCAACGCCCCCTCTCCCCAACACAAAGAACTCACCCGTGGCGTGGCGACAGCAGTGGCAGGCGGCGAGCAAGAAGGCGCAGACCAGCCTGGGCAGCCCCATGCTTCCCCGACGGAGGGCGAGAGCCAAGTGAGGAGCTCGACGCTGTCGGGGGCTGACGTCAGGGGGGCGGGGGAGGGGACCCCGGGCGCCGCCCGGCCCCGCCCCGCGCAGCCCCCCGCCCCCTCCCCGCACCCTAGGGGGCGGGCCCGGCGCGCCGGCTGGGAGCTGCTCCCCGATCCCGGCCTGGAGGCCAACTCCCGCTTCCCAGCTTCCTGGCTTGGAAAGGTTGGAGGAGCAATGACAGGTGTCCCGGGGCTCGAATGACTGGCCGGGGCGGCAGAAGAAGCTGGCCTGGTCGCCTTAGAACCCTCTTGGACGCAGTAGCAGCACTCCCTCAGGTTTGGCCGTTATATGTAACCCCGGGACCCTGTGGCATAAGAGGAGCAGAGCGGTGTCCCTGACGGGGGCCTCCCAATCGGGCTCCTCTGCCCTGCTTTGGAGGCATGGAGCTGGCCCTGGTCGCCTTCTGGAAGGACCGCTTCACTGCGGCGGCTGCCGGCTTGGCACTGCCCCAGAGTCTTCACTGACTTGGCAGCCTTGGAGGACGAACTGTGCCAGGTCCCATAGACCTAGGGGTGACTGCCAGGGGGCAGGGGAGTTGGAAATGCTGCATTTTAGGTTATCCTTTCATATTCAAGTCCCTGCAAGGGAGGAAGGGGGATGAATTCACAAGCCCAGGCTCCACGCCCAGACCCAGATAGTTCTGTTCCAACCCTCCTCATGCATTCCTGGTCTCAGTCTCAGTTTCCCCTCACCTGAATGAGGAAAGGTTAATACTAATGGATGTGGAAATCCCCAGCTTGACTCCCAGGAACCTATTGCTCCCCTTAATGCTTGAAAGCTCCCACCCCCACCCCATACTGCTCTACCCACCCCTCAACTCTCTCCTGTGTGGCTCAGTGGCTGGAGCAGTCACATCCATATAGATCAACTGCAGATTGTCAGATAACAAAGTCTCCTACATAGCAAGGTGCCAGGAACCCTAGCTTCCCTTCTTTCCAAACCCCAACTTCTCCCCAGGTCTTCTGGACTCTAAGACTCAAAAAGACCCCAGCCCCATGGCTTCAGGAAGGGTGTCGGTCATATCTGCTGGCCTCGCACCAGAGAGAGGTCTGGAATTAGGTTAGTGGTCTGCAATAGCCTTTCTGCTGCAGCATGAGGGAAGAGGATGAGGCAGCAAACGCCAGAGATGGCCAGGTGACTTGAGAGGATGCTCGGGGCTGTGTTCTGATGACTCAGATGACCGGCAGGCCACATCCACCTCATTGTTCCATCTCATTGACCCTCCTCCCTGTCCATCAGTGTCCAGCCAGAGTCATGCCCTGCCTGCCAGGCCTCTGGTTTAGGCCCTTGAGGAGTAAGAGGGCCCTGCCTCTACCCCACAGAGTGAAAGGATGAGCACTTTGACCTCTGACCCAGAGCGAAATAGGAAAATAAGCATGTTCTCCGAAGAAATGGCTAGAGGATGCTGATTGGCTAGGCAGGCCAAGTGCTCAGCACCTCCCATTGCTTCATTTAACACCATTAACTTATCATTCTCTTCTCTGGCAGTCTGAAAACAAAGCCAGCTAACCACCAAGGACAGACAGTTCTGAATTCTTCCTCTTAGAGGATGCCAGGTGGGGGTTGAAGGAGTCATTTCTGCAGTGAAATAAGATTTCAACCCAGGGTGACATCCCATCCTTCCTGGATATACCTAACCAAAGCAAACAAACAGACTGCACTGTCAGAAGTCTGGCCCCTGCTCAGACTATGTAGTAAGTAGCTTGGGTTCTGAGAGATTGGTGGCCCAGAACTCCTCATCATTTGTTTCTGGGTCTCCATATTTCCTGCTAGGGGGTTGAAGACTCCCACCGTTCTCTTAATATTTGAGCTCTGGAGACCTTACAAGGGGAGGCATCCCTTCTCCTGAATGAACCTGAGGACTAGGAAGCCTACAGTGGAGTCTCCCCTAAGTTCCTGGGATGGTGGGCAGTTCCTAGAGTGTACCTGTGCTTTCATCCTCATTCTGTGTCAAGGGTGCAAAAGCCTTTCTCCTGCTGCTGTGGACCTTGCTGCTACAAAGGATGGCCCCTACCCAAAGCTGAGCAGGCCCTGGGAACTCTGGTTCTGTGTCAGCAGCTGTCAGGTTGTCAGGAACAACAAAAAGAACAAAAGCCTGGAGCCAGCACATTTATGTGCCAGGTAGACAGCATTCGATGACTGGTGGGTACCTAAGCTGTAGCCCCAGCTCCTCCCGGATGTGGAGCCTGAGCTCAGGAGTGATTTGGACAAGGTTGTGAGAGCACACACCCCTCCACCCCACAAGACATTTTACTTAACACTTATTTTGCCTTACAAGTACCTGGTTTTATCCAAAAGAGCCCTATGAGATTTTTTTTTTTTTTTTTTTTTAAGATTAAGAAAAAGAAGAATCATTCTTTTAAATGTCAAAGAAGAGGAGGAGGAGGAGGAGCCAGGCACAGTGGCGCATGCCCATAATCTTAGGGAGACAGAGGCGGGCGGATCTCTGTGAGTTTGAGGCCAGCCTGGTCTACAAAACGAGTCCATGACAGCCAAGGCTACACAGAGAAACCCTGTCTCAAAGTAGTAGTAGAAGAAGAAGAAGAGGAGGAGGAGGAGGAAGAGGAGGAAATAGAAGGTGGCCTCTGGCTGGTAGGGAGGTCAGGCGACTCACAGCTTAGGGATGGTTTTGTGAAGGGGGCATTTTGAAATTACAGACCAAAGATGGGTCAGGACCCTGGAGAGGACTCAAAGGGCTATAAACCGGAAGGGAGAGCAGAGAGCATATTGTGGGTGGAGTGGGTGGGTGGAGGGCCTTCAGCTCATCTAAGACACCGGAGAACAGAGCACCCTCGGGATTTTCAGGAAGCCAGGAGTGAAGCCAGCACACAGAGTAGAACAGGGACCTGAGGGGCAGCGAGGCACACTGAGGCCCGTCGGGTAGTGGACATCCGCCCGTGCGGTTGGGGCTTTCCACTCCTTACTAAAGCGGGGAAGAGTAGAATTGGAGGTAAAAAGACAAGGATTCCCCCACCCCACCGCCGCCGCCGCCGCCGCCTTTTCTGGGAAGGGTGGGCTGGGCGGAGGAAGGAAATGGATAAAGACGTGCTTGCAGCTGCGATGAGGGGGTGGGCAGAAATCTTGGCCTCTGTGAAGTCTGGGGAACCTGCTTCGCACCCGGCACGACCCCAACCCAGCCAGAAAACAGGATTCAGACTCTGCAGAGTAGGGGGATCTGCCCTGGGAGGAGACTGCAGAGTGAAAACCAAGGTGCGTGAAGAGTCGGGGTCAATTACTGCTGAGGACATCATCAAGCCAGGAAACCGGATACTAGGGGGGTGGGTGGAAGATGTGTGGGAAGAAATTGAATGGAGGGAAGCAGTCCCTACTCCGGCCGGACACGAAGTCTCACTCATGTCCTTCGCACCTGACTCAGGGCAGGAGGAAGGAGGTGGACGCTGTATTGGGGTGCACATCAGCCGCAACGTGGAAGAGAGGGAGGGTAGTTTTCGGGGGGGCGGGGGGTGGGATGGGAGGAGCTATTTTTAAACTTGGAAAAACCGTGAGTTCATCTCCACCCTGGAGGCGGCAAAGGCCCTATTGTGCAGGGGTCAGAGAAGGGGGAGCCAGGGGAGGAGGGGGGTGAGTGACACAAAGGCGAGGATTATGTTGGAGCGGGGTGGGGGAGGGGCGTCGGCGTCACAGCTGGCCTACTGAACCTTAGGGTTGCTCTAGACTTGGACTAGGGTAGGGACTTCCACAGACACAGGCCCCGTTGCATCCGGTGGTTCATGCTGGGGAGGGGGCTGGATGGTGGGATTCCCGCTGCCTGGCTTTCCCATGGACTGCCGCGTCTGTTCCCAGGCTCCCAACATTCCAGGACTCCCCTGGGAGCTTCGGGCCTCTTCTCTTGGCCCCTTCCCTGCCGTGGGGTTGGGATGGGGGGGGGGAGGTGAATGTGAACGCATCAGGATATTTCCTAGGGACTAGGAACCCTTAAAAGCCAACAAGGCAGCAATGGATAGAGGTCATAGATAGCCCTTGTGAATACTTAGACCACAGCCTGGCCCTCTTGTTCCCTCTGACCCTAGGGGTCTCTCCTCATGGAACAGCCCACCTGCCCACTTCGCAACACGCAGGGTCTCTAGACTCACAGAAGCAGCCGAGGCGGGAAGGCGCCCCAGCAGCCGCGGGCTCCGAGGTTCTGCCCAGGGGATGCCGAGGGGAGGCGGGGCATCCGGCAGTGCTCACCAACCCAAACATTACCAAAAATGCTCAGGCAGCTCAGTCGAGTTGGGAGGGGGGACCACTGGACTCTCCGGAAACTTCGAATCCGGTCTCCGAGTCTTTCCCAGCGCGGCCCTCAGCGGTGATTCAGTGGGTCCTGCCACCCCTCTGTGAAGGGCGGAGGCAGACCCCGGGGGAGAACGGAGGTGCGGTGCGCCGCTGCGCCCTCGGGTCCGGGACCCAGTGGGACCCCGCGGGCGGCATTCTGCCCAGGCACTCGGGTCCTGGGGAGCTGGGCGCCCTGCGGCTACGCGCAGCCCAAGTCCAGTCGCTGGTGGAGTCCTGGGTCCGAGGCCTCTAGGCTCACACCCTCATCCCACTCCTCTGTCTCCAGCATAAATCTGGGAAAAGGATGTCGGGGTCCCAGGCCGGATGCTGGGAGCTGACACATAAACCCCTCGGGGAGTTTTACATCCGCTCTCCCAAATCCCACCACCAAGGGGGAGGGCTGCTTAAGTTTGACTTTGTGTTAAGTCCTGGAGGCCAAGGCAAGTTGGTCCACAGTTGGGGAGCTTGTGGGGAACTGGGACGCATCATGAGTCACTGAGTCATGTTCTGTGTCTACCGGGCTGCTGTGTTCTCAGGAGGACATGGGTACACCCTCTGTCCTTAAGACTATCAGCCAGCTTCCAGAAAGGGACAGGACAGGGTTAGGACCTAAGGGTAGTTGACTTGAGAAGAAAGGAGATAGCAAAGGTCCGTCTGCTGCTTGCCCTCCCAGACTGCAT